ATTCACATGTCTAGCGCCCACTCCCCAATCCAAATGTACCCGGGCAATGGGCAGACGCCCCCGGCTACTCTCACATCCACAGTGTCTCTGGTGTGTTGGTTCTCAGACACCAAGTGCTTTTGGAGCAATGTCATGGTTGCACCGGTATCCCGCAGACCACTGACCTCCTTCCCGTTCACTTTGACGAGTTGCCGGTGTTGTTGTCTATTATCTTGATGGGCAGTTTGGACGGGGTCTGCCTCATGCAGGATGCCCCAAAATTCCTCCTCCTCTACGCATTGCGCTGGTCTCCACTGGTGGGTCTCCTCCAAGACTGGACCTGGTTAGCGTTATTCAGCTGGCACTCTGGTAATTTGTGTCCTAGCTGCTTGAACCCGAAACACCGGATGGGCTGTGAGTAGTCCCGTTAATTAAACTGGGATGGCTGAGGGTAGTTATTAACTGGAGGGGGTGCTGGTGTGCGGTGCGTCTGAGGTTGGTATATGGTAGCTACTGGTCGGTACTCTGCTCTGGCAGAAGTCTTATTAATAACAGTGTCCCGTTTATGGGCATCCGTATACTCATCTGCCAGGCGGCCTGCTTCATGCAGAGTGGAGGGCTTACGATCCGGGACCCACTCTCTGACTCCTGTGGATAATTTCTCAAAGAAATGTTCCAGCAGGAACATCTGCAGCACCTCTTCCCCTGATTCGGCTTGGCACCATGCCATCCAGTGAGCGGCTGTGTGGTGTACTTTACATGCCCACTCGACGTAGGAATCCCCGGCTAGTTTGGCAGTGTCTCTGAACCGCCTCCGGTATGCCTCCGGTGTAACAGCATACCTGGAGAGCAAAGCTTCTTTTACAGCCACATAATCCCCGATCTCTTCATCAGGGATGGCCGAAAAGCGTGTCTGGCCCGGCCGGATAACTTCCCGCACAATATAATGACCCAGCCTCCTGCGAGTACCTTGTGTAGCGCACATTGCTGCTCAAAATCAGCAAGGTACCCATCAATCTCTCCTTCTGTCTCAAGGAAAGGTTTAAACCCTGCAAACTGCACCTTTCTCTTTTCCACCGGGGTTGCTGGGACATGAGCTGCTGCAGCACCGCTTTGTCTGAGCAGGTTGGCCTCCACAGTGTACATGACCCAGCTGATGATCTCTGGAGACAGGTTGGAACCATAATCAGCCAGTCTGATTCTTACCGCCCGGTCAAAGCTTGCTTCTTCAGTGGTTCTATTAGCTGTGCTGGGCCCATTGGTTCCTTCAGCCCCTGGTACTCCATCTATTTCATTCAGTATTGCGATAATCTCCCTCTTCCTGAGATTACTGGCTTGTCTGACTCTTTGTTCCAGTAAGTCTTTAAGGGTAGCTCTTTTCAGCCTTTGGTATTGTATTTCCATTAATTCTGGATGTGTAGTTGTCTCTCTGGGCGATGAGGATCATCCCGTCGCTTGCCACCAGTTGTTAAGACACTCATAGCTTAAATGGATGAAACCGCCGTGTTACATTTGTAACTGGCCCTTTAAATGGAAAATTGCCCTGCTTCCCTGGGTTGTGGAGAAGCCTATTTGCCAGCCTCCTTCCACATGACTATGGCCCCTGGGAGATTGTGAGAACTTATGCACTTTTATTGAGTGTGTATGGCCCTTTAAGACAGTCAGTGGGCATATTGTGGCTTATGGACTCTTTATGGGACCGGTGCTGGCCATTTAAACACCTTTTTGGGACATCAGGAAGATTGGGACACTGCCCCTTTAAGACGGTGTCCCCAGACTTGTTTGGGACACTATCCCTTTAAGACGGTGTCCCCTGTGTCCCCAGACCTGGTTCAAACCCTTTGTTCCGGGCTATTTCCCACTTTGTTCAGTAAATGGGGCTTACTGAACCAAGTACCACACAGACAGACCACCCAGAAGTGGAAGTGTGCAGGCAATTTACCTCCCAGAAGCTGCGGTTAACCGCAGCTTAATTGACAACGCTGGGTGGCCTTTGTTCGTTTGCCGAACACGTGGCGGCGGCCATCTTTGTTAATGCGAACAAGGTCAGCGGTATGTGTAGCCAAATTCATGGAACTAAAATCGTCCATTTCCGTGAACACCGCTGAGCTCTACCTTCTCCCACAATGATTTTACATTCGACGATGGGACTTAGTCGTTTTTTCAGCCTGAAATAGACCGGCTGCACAGCCCAAATCTATGGAACTGTTTTGGGTATGAAAATGTGCTTGCGGTCGGTCATAAAGGGACCTCCAGCTAACTTTTTAACCCCTGGATGGATTTGTCTGATATTTGGTTATGTTTATGATTAAAGTGTGCTGAAGATTGGATGTGTAGTTTTAAAGCTATTGTACATGTAGAACAACTGTATTTTTCCTGCTTGTGATAATTATGTTAAGCATTGTGTGCCATAATTAGATCACAGGCAGAGGGTGTTGTATAATCCTTCTCTCACCACCAATACTTCCAATTGGTATCCTTTTGAGAGAAATCCACTCTGCGTTGTGTTTTTAATAGTGAATGTAATATCCCTGTGTAACCTCTTCCAAGAACTAACATATATCTTTATCCCCTTATCCAGATAAATATACGACTAGAACTACTAAGGTATTCTACCCAATATTACAAATAAACAGCCAACACCATAGTTCTTACCAGAGAGAAATCTTTACTTAGAATCTGCCCAATTCAATATTACAGAAGAAGAATGTTACAGAGTTATAGTATTACAGTTACAATACATTCATAACACTCACACATTCCATCTATCTAATATCTACTGTATTGTGTATGTGCTGTGGGATGTTATGTGCAGCATGTGTCTTACCAAAACCTAATCTAATGTGATGTCAGTATCTTCTATTTTTAAAGGAATTGGTTCCCATGTTGTAAATAGCAAATTCCTCAGCTCAATTTGACATGGAAATGTGATTTCCTTTCCCAAGGCCCAAAGTGTTGTCTATCCTGTTATTTTATTTAAGTGTTAACTTTCCCAGCCATCCCTTTACCTCTAACCCAAGGTGTGTTTTCCTAGATAGGGACTCCTTTGAAGACCAGTTGATATGTAAATGTGATTGGTGCCTTTCAGGTACTGTATCTTTCCAGCTATCTAAACAGAAACTCCCTTTGACGATAATTCCTGACCTCCCATACACACAGACTTAATCAAGCACATATTAAACAGATATATACATAATATTTTCCCCAACACTCCCCCACTTGAATAAGATCTAATAAGGAGATTATTCACATACAGCCCCGCCTCCCACTCTGATTTCTGTATATTAAAAAAAAATCAAAAAACAACAAAAAAAAAAAAAAATCAAAGGAAGACATAGACCCACACATATATTTTATATCTGTAAAATGGATGTGAGCTCTAATTTTTCCTGCTTTGTATGGATTTTTTTTAGTTCTTTCCTCCAACAGCAATATAAAATGAATAGAGAACAGATTAAAGCAAATTGTAGACAAACAAATATTACAGAAGCAGTTCTTAATCCTGGGTGTGTGTAAGTATTGTAGGGTATGCTCCACCAGGGCTCTTGAAAACTATTTGTTAAATCATCAAGGCTAGCTACATTTTCCTTCACCAGCTCTTGCAATTGCACAACCCTTCGATTATTTCTTTTAAATAATGTATCCAAATCTACATTAAGTGGTGGGATTTTCTTAAAAAGTGAGGGAGCCATTTTATTCCAATTTCCTAGATCTTCCTGCACCACGTCCATAGATCTTTGTGTGAGTTGGATATTGGCTCTTATGACCTCCTTGTCCACTTTCATGGAGCCATAGGTCAGATTAACACACCATCCTGTTGGGGGTACCCTACATTGTATTGTTTGCTGCCACAGAACTGAAGATACTCCCAGTGCGCAGATCGTGGGACCCTGTCCGTGCACCACTCTTTTCCAACCATTTATGGGTTTGTGAAGGTGAACAGGGCAGCTCCCTGAGTTTTCCACCATGCACCCATCTGCCTGGACTAGTGGTTCTAGTACACAGGAACAAAGCCAAGCATTACCACGTCTGTCACAGCAACTGGGGTTGATAACTTTCCAGAACTGGTCTTCTTTTATTACTAAGCGAGTTTGTGGAAGGAATTGCTTTAAAACATTAGTGCGATTAACCACCTCCAACTCACCAAATATAGTCATTTTATAAACAGGTACAGGCTGTTCTGTCCAAACTGGAATGTCAATTATTAATGGAATTACCTTTTTTCCTAATTTGCACTTATTGCACCAACTCTGCAGACCTTTAATTTTGGAAAGGACTACATTCTGACAATCTATGCCATATTCCCTAACCAGATCAAAGACTAGGGTAGAATTGATAATTCTGGGCCATTCCCCTCGTTTTATTTCTTGGAGGCCTAAATTTAGATGTTCGTCTAGTAAATTTCCAACTATACCACATACCATAGCTTTAGATACATTATTGTTATTAACTGATTCTCTGAGAGCATTCACAGATATATTGATCCACTGCAAATCTGCAGCAACTGTGTGAATGTTCTGTATCGTGACATCAGTTTCAGCTAGAGTGTTAAAATCCACTCGTCCCTCTTTAAGCATAATTTGCTGCAACCCATTAACATAATTTTGCTCTTGTGAGTTAAGACCCTCTATGTCTGCCCTATTCCAAATTGATGTTCCCAAACTGAGTCCTGAGATTATATCAGTACCCAGATCCCTTTTTTCTCTCTCTCTAAACTTGAGCCCTTGTGTTGCATCCCAGAATAGATTAATATGTGCTTGAAATACATTTTTAAACCATTCTTTCATCACCTCTGGGCAACTCTCTGGCATATTAAATAATGAAAAATTTAACAATAATGGTAATGTTACATAAGATACATCAGTATACACAACAGTTTGTGTTGGTTGTAAGAAAAGGCCATGCTCTGGCCATAGGGTGGTAGTTGGACAGTCCTGAGAATTTATAATTCTTATGTTAATTGCTGGGTCAACTGTATCATGTAATCCAGTCTGATGGGGGCTACATGTTACAACACCATCCTGGGAAAATGTAAAATTTCTTTCCAGCAGCATCTTTATCCTCACTTCATTTGTGGTATTGGCCCAAAATATACTTGTACTCTTATGTAAATCACTTCCTCCTGGATATTTCCAAACTGCAAATTCAGAGGGAAGGTTAGTTTCAGGCATTGAAATATTACATTGTATCACTATCCACCCCCCTATAGGCCCAACCACTGTAAGATTATCTTTACATGTAACTTCAGGTGATTGTTCCTTAATTTTTAATGTTACTATGATATTCTCTGAATCTTCTGAACTCCTTTTCTCCCTATGATAACCCTCTACTGGAGTACTCTGATGTACCATTTTATTGTTATTCTTCATCATGACATTCCCTTTTCCTAAGCTATACAATATATACATAGAAAACGATACACATAACCACCACATCACAACTGTTGTTTTCTTGCACTTCATATTTCTTAAGTGGGCTGCTCTTCCAGGGATCCACTCCATCTCCTATTATCTGTAAATGAGAACTAAGAGACTATGTTAACATTAACATTAACTTGGCATAAAGTGCTCATCTCCCACATCTAACAAATACACAGAAGGGCCAATTTTGTCAAGCACAATATATGGACCTTTCCATTTTGGCTTTGAAAATGGGTGGTAAGGGGAAAAATCTTGCAACATTACTCAGTTTCCAATCTGATGCTCTGTTATATCCCTTTTTTTTTTAAAAAAAAAATGACAAAGATTCAAAGATGTTTGTCAGCATGCAGTCTATAGAAAACTGACAACGGTCTGTTGCCATACAAAGATAAAAAAAATAAGCTTAAGGCTATTTTTATAGAAACAAAAGAAAATCAAACATACATACACATGTAGAGAAAAACAAAAAAATTATGGTAGTTAATTGCTGGGAAACCTCAATTGATCAGTCTTTCCCTCATCTCTCATCTGTTCCCTAAGCGCTTTTACATCTGCCTCCAATCTCTCAGTCTGTCTCTTCAGATCCCAATATTCTCTATTCCCTTCTTTATTCCTCCAATTATCCCAATTCCGTCTACTGGTCTGATCATCCCATCTATGGTTCTTTCTCCAAGAATTCTCCCAATAACTGTTCCTGTTGTTTCTATGTTTTTCTCCCCAACTGTTATTTCTCCAGTTATTATCTCTCCTTTTTAGCCTCTCCCAGTTATTATTATTCCAATTATTGTTAATTACCTGAGGCTCATCCCATCTATTTCTCCAATTATCTCCCATTACATTGCTCCCTTTAGCACTATCCCTATTCCTATGGCCCCTCTGTGGATCTCTCTGTCTTTTGTCACTATCAGATTCATTCTCACATCTAAAATTTCCCACATGCTGAAATCTATCTCCCCTGAATGGTTTCTGAGGATACATAGCAGACCTGTCTCTCCTCTCTACTCTGAAAATCCTTGCAGCATCTACAGCAAAACTCTCATTTTTAACCTTTCTTCGCCACAAATTATCAGCTCTTAACAGTAAATCACACATTTCTGATGGGTTTGGGGTTACAAATAATATCTCATCTTTAATATCTTGCTCTAATGCATCCAAAAACATTGATCTATGCACCAGCCCTCCCTGTTCAAAACCAGGATTACTGACACCAAACTGTTCCATCACTGTGGAAATTCTAGCTGACAATTCATACGGAGACTCTTGTTTCAGCTGTTTAATTTTTCCAGACAATGACACATTTGATGTAACTTCATAAAGTGCTCTCAAGATCTCTTTCAACATATCCCTAGTTCTACGCTGCTGACCACATGTCTGTACAATCCTGACCCACAATCCATTTCCAACAACTTTCTGCAGCACTCTCTCCATATCACTATTTGTCAAACTATACATCTCTTTCACTCTTTGAAATCCACAAAACCATTGCAAAAAGCGATTTATATCCTGCTGAGGGACCTGCCCTATTTCTCTAACTATGGCATCCATTTCTTGTGGCTTCAACTGCTTAGTAACCAGCTGAATCTCTCCAGAATTATCAGGATTAAACACTGTGGTTGTTGTAGTTGGAGCCGCAGGGAGATTTGTCACTGACTTTTGTTTCAAATCCTCCCATGGATAAAGAGGTTTGTATCCTGTATCTCCAATCCCTGGGTTAGCAATAGACCCTGGAATTTCAGATGCAGGAGACCTACTCGAAGGTGCCATGCTTTCTGCCATTTTATTAAAAGCCATATTAGTAGCATGTCTGCATTCATCCAATTCTTTTTGCAACTCCAAAATTTTCTCATTCAAACTCTCATTCTCCACTGTAAGTTTCTCACATATTTTGGCCTTTTCAATTAAAGCTTCACCAGTTGTAACTGCATGCACTCTAAGATCTACAATCTTATTATTCAATTTCTCAGATTTCATGTTAATTACTGAATTAAGCTCTGCCATTTCATCCTCCTTTATTTTTACAATTCCTTCTAATTTTAAACAACATGATAGTAATGCTTGCATAATACACCCTTTTCTTTTTTTATCAGAAACATTTTTATCAAATAAAATTTCTCCTAAAAACTCCTGCATCTTTTCCCATGACTGTTTACAGTCCTGAGAGATTTCATAAGGACCACCATGTCTCTTAATATAGTTCATAAGCCATTGTTTAACATTTTCTGAACAAGCCATTTTTGCATCTACCTTTTTGCATGCCATATTAAAAATATACACTGCAGCAATAGAATAAATAACAAATATACTCACCAAGCTTTATGCAGACACTGGAAACCTCTTCTGGCTGACAGTCACAGAACCAAATACGTTGATGTTAAAACTTGGATCCTAGGCAGATTCTGAAGAAAGAAATCTTCCGGCCACGGTCACGGCACCAATTATGTTGTATAATCCTTCTCTCACCACCAATACTTCCAATTGGTATCCTTTTGAGAGAAATCCACTCTGCGTTGTGTTTTTAATAGTGAATGTAATATCCCTGTGTAACCTCTTCCAAGAACTAACATATATCTTTATCCCCTTATCCAGATAAATATACGACTAGAACTACTAAGGTATTCTACCCAATATTACAAATAAACAGCCAACACCATAGTTCTTACCAGAGAGAAATCTTTACTTAGAATCTGCCCAATTCAATATTACAGAAGAAGAATGTTACAGAGTTATAGTATTACAGTTACAATACATTCATAACACTCACACATTCCATCTATCTAATATCTACTGTATTGTGTATGTGCTGTGGGATGTTATGTGCAGCATGTGTCTTACCAAAACCTAATCTAATGTGATGTCAGTATCTTCTATTTTTAAAGGAATTGGTTCCCATGTTGTAAATAGCAAATTCCTCAGCTCAATTTGACATGGAAATGTGATTTCCTTTCCCAAGGCCCAAAGTGTTGTCTATCCTGTTATTTTATTTAAGTGTTAACTTTCCCAGCCATCCCTTTACCTCTAACCCAAGGTGTGTTTTCCTAGATAGGGACTCCTTTGAAGACCAGTTGATATGTAAATGTGATTGGTGCCTTTCAGGTACTGTATCTTTCCAGCTATCTAAACAGAAACTCCCTTTGACGATAATTCCTGACCTCCCATACACACAGACTTAATCAAGCACATATTAAACAGATATATACATAATATTTTCCCCAACAGAGGGGAGGATTTTTGTGTGTAATTGCTGGGAGTGTTTCTGTAATGTACGTTTATGATTGGTTGTTCTGTAAACCCCTGTGGGCGATCCTGTATGTGTTAAACCTGCATAAAAGAAGGCCCTTTGGTGCCAAGTAAACAGATCTTCTTGACCCTCAATACGTAGCCTTGTCTCGTTAGTGGAGGGAACTGCTATATCACACTTGGGATTGCTATGCTCTGCACACTCCCCTGAGCTTGAATCACACAGCTCTTTTAAGAGCTGTTCCTGTTACGCTCTCCTGGAGGAGAGGTCTTCCCCACACAGTCCTGGAGGACAGAAGCTGATCCAGGGTGGAAGGAAGATGGCGTGACTCCAGTTAAGCTACGGTGGTTGTGGAGTCTGTGGTGGTTGTGGTGTCTGCTGCAGTGTTTGGAGTCCTCAGGAAGCGCTAGGAGCATCCATCAACAGAGTGTACTCGGTCGGAGTACAGGGAGCTCCGTTACATGCCGTTTAGCCAATATTCCCCTTCTCACAGAGACACAGGCTCTCTATAATAAACCATCAAACTCACGAACGGAATACAAGAGAATAACGAATCAGCCGAACTCCTTCCATGGCTAAAACAAGCGAAAGAAAGTGTAGCGGATCGGCAAAATTAAATGCAACGAATTCCGCTGGTACAGAAAGTAATCCACAGTCAAGCGCTGAAAAGCAAGGCAATATCCCAAATCCCCCAGTAACCAGACGAAACACAGTTCTGGGAGTCAACTGAGGTCTTTATTCACAGCATCCGGTATTTATGCAAGTCCCCATGCAAGGGGTTTCCATACTGCCATAGCAGGGGTAACACAGTAGGGGACTACATGGGGGACTTCACATTCTGGGCATTTCTCCCATCAGGCACCGCTGCACGAGAGGGACACTCCCACTGGAATGTACCGTTGAGTGGATTATCCCTCCGTGCAGCAGAACCGGCAATTCACATTAAAATACATCATTGGCATTGTATTCGGTGAATTTATACAATTGGACGTTCAGCAGATAGCTGGGGTCTGAGCGCACAGTTTGTGAGAATACCGCTCAGATCCCAGCTAAAACAGCCGAACGCTGCACGAAAAACATATTAATTGCAACACACGCTTAAAAGACCGATTGCTACACGGGAAGTAAAATACCGAAAAGCCCGGAGCTCCCGAACAGCCTGGAAGCCCAGCAGTGTTCGCGCCGTTGAGTAGCCGTTTTCAGTACCACGCGCTCGACGACTGAACACCGCTGGAGAGACAAAGGATCCAAGATGGCCGACCGCCGCATGGTCGGTAGTCGAACGACGGCCACCTCGGAGAGTCTCTAATTGCCACAATGCTCCCCCAGATCCAAGCCAGCATACACAGTCTGATCCCAACGGATCGGCTTGGGGATGTCCGGAGGAGGGCTCACAGATCACTTCTCAAGTTCAATTTGTCGGGATAACCCGTCGGCGTTACCGTTTTGTTTCCCAGGGCGATAATGGATTGTAAAGTCAAAAGGCTGCAGCGCCAAACTCCAGCGCAGCAGCCTGGCGTTGTCTCCAGCCACAGGGTTTAGCCACACCAATGGGTTGTGATCTGTGAGCAGGGAAAAGGGTTGCCCATAGAGATATGGCCAGGCATTCTTTTTCAATGGTGGCGTAGCTCACTTCTCGGGGTAACAGCTTCCGCCTTAAATAAGCTACAGGGTGTTCTCCGCCATCTGCTCCAACTTGGCTCAGTACTGCTCCCAATCCTAACATCGAAGCATCTGTATGGACAAGAACGTGTTTAGTTGGATCAGGAGCAGCAAGTACAGGTGCATTGGTTAGAGCCATCTTGAGTTGGGTAAATGTCTGTTCACACTCTGGAGCCCAGACGACCTGTCGGGGTAGGTTCTTACGAGTCAGATCAGTCAGGGGTTAGGCCAGGGCACTGTAATTGTGCACAAATTTTCTGTAGTACCCGGCGGTAACCAGGAAGGCGAGTACTTGAGTCTTGGTACTAGGGGTGGGCCACTTAGCTACGGCTTCAATTTTAGCTGGCTCGGGTTTTTGTTGCCTGCTTCCTACCCGGTGGCCCAAGTACTGTACTTCGGCCATCCCTATGTGACACTTGCTAGGTTTCAGTGTCAACCCTGCCTCTCCAATACGGTCAATTACTGCCCCTATGTGCTGTAAATGCTCTGCCCAGGTCTGGCTATATATGGTGATGTCGTCCAGTTATGCGCATGCATAATCCTGGAACCCATCCAGTAGCCGATCTACCATCCGCTGAAAGGTCGCCGGGGTGTTCTTCATCCCGAATGGCATGACCTTAAACTGATACAGGCCAAATGGGGTGACAAACTTGGGGATGGCATCCTCGGCTAATGGAATCTGCCAGTATCCCTTACATAAATCTATGGTGGTGAGATACTGGCCTCGTGCCATCTTATCCAGCAGCTCATCTATGCGGGGCATCAGGTAGGCATCAGACACAGTTTTGTCATTTAGCCTCCGGTAGTCCACAAAAAATCGAGTTGTACCATCCTTCTTAGGTACCAGGACTACCGGCGATGCCCAGGGGCTATCAGAGCCCTAACTGCAACATCTCCTCAATCTCCTTCCTCATGTGTTCCCTGACTGATTAAGGGATCCGATAGGGGGTCTGCCCCACAGTTCGTGAGAATACCGCTCAGATCCCAGCTAAAACTGTCCAGGGGTCTCAACTCGGTGAGTGGCCAGCGGAGTGTACCCAGGCAAGTTGGAGAAAGTGGCACCTTTCACCGCTATCAACTCCTGTACCTGCTCTTGAGGGCTGAGCCGCTCCCCCAGTTGAACCCCCTTGGAGGGTTCTGACTGATCATTCTGTTCTAATAGGTCAGGTAGCGGCAGGTTCTCCTGATCTTCTGAGGCTGGCGTGCATATGGCTGCCACGTCCTCTGTCCTCTCATGGTAGGGTTTGAGCATGTTCATGTGGAGCATGCGTCTCTTCCCTACCCCTGAGCAGGGGCCAATCACATAGGTGGTGTCGCATCTCTGCTTCACTGCCTGGTATGGGCCTTGCCAGATGGCCTGCAGTTTGTCTGTGCAGACAGGTTTTAAAATCAAAACCTTCTGTCCCACTTGAAAGCTGCGGTCTCTGGCTCCCCTGTCATACCAACGGCGCTGTTGTTGGTGGGCCGCCTGGAGATTGGTGCGTACGGCCTGGTTTAGTTCCTCCAGACAGTCCCTGAACTCTAGCACGTATGGTACAATGGGGATCCCATCTGCCCTGCTCTCTCCCTGCCAATGCTCCCTAACGGTCCCCTCACTTAATGCCGCAAAGGCGCTGTTCGTGAAACGGAATAGAATACGGCTATCTGCTTTTGGCAGATAGCTAACACAGTCAATACAACATTAGTGATGTCGCGAACACGAAATTTTCGGTTCGCGAACGGCGAACGCGAATTTCGGCAAATGTTCGCGAACCGGGCGAATCGGGCGAATCGCCATAGACTTCAATGGGCAGGCAAATTTTAAAACACACAGGGACTCTTTCTGGCCACAATAGGGATGGAAAAGTTGTTTCAAGGGGACTAACACCTTGACTGTGGCATGTCGAGGGGATCCGTTGGCAAAACTCCCATGGAAAATTACACGTTGATACAGAGCCTGGTTTAACTACAAGGGCAGAATCACCTAACATTCCTAAATCACAAATGAATATGGATTGACACCTGACATATGACATATTGACACCTTTGACATATGATGACACCTGTCCTAAGGATCCCTGATACACACTGACAGAGCAGAATAGGGACTGTTCTCCTA